CTCTTTATTTTAGGGTGGAATATCACAAGAGGTACTACAGTCTCATATCCTGCCCATCCCCATCTCTCTCTCATAAGCCCTTGAAGTCTTATTAAGAAGACACTGCTGGGTGCAGTGGGATATACCTGTAATCCCAGCAGCTCAGGAGCCTGAAACAGGAGGATTCCAAGTTCAAGCCAACCTCAGCAATTTAGTGAGGCCCTAAACAACTTAGGGAGACACTGTCTCAAAATACATACATACATACATACATAAATGTATGTCTAGGGATGCAGCTTAGTAGTTAAGCACCCCTGGGTTCACTCCCAGTGCCAATAAATAAATAAACAACAGACAGACTCATTTTGGCCAGGGTCAGCGCCTGCACATTTCTCACCTTTCTCTGCATAAAGCTCACACAAAATACAACTTACCCTGTCTCAAAATCTGCTGCTGGTACTTATGAAAACTTGGGCTTTCCCAGTTTTCTGTTTATCCAAAACAGCAACTCACACCTACAACTCAAATCCAATAGGGGGGACAGAGAGAACAGGGTTACAAATATAGTCTTGACTTGCCAGTAAAATGAAAAAATGTTGCCTCATTTTCTAAATGCAGTTTCTAATCAGCCATAAGTTGGTTTATGAATCTCTGGGTTACTTTGAAGTTTCTTCCTAGTGCCTGTGCCTTAGTATTATCTCACAATTAGCAAGCATTATATAGATGCATGCAACAAGAATGCATGCAATTCTTATATGAATATCTTAAGTGTTTTTAAAACTCTAAGGTAAGTCTAGTTGGGAAAGGAATGAAAATAAGGTTCTGGCTTTCAGTTTCACATATGAGCAATGTTTTCTAAATTAACATAGAAAAAACAAGAAATTGGCTAATTTCTAATAACCAAATTTTAGGTATCACAATTTTAATCTAGGAATAGAGAGACACTATGTTTGTACCCCTCTTTGCTTTTAATCACCACATAACTTAATACTGCAGAATAATACATAACTAACCATTAATTATTCTCTTTGCTAATAAAAATTTTTATTAGAAAAAGTTATTTATAGGGAAATACAGTAAACAATATTCATTGACCTATTTTTCTCTTTCCGAATCTTAAGTTTAAGCATCAAACCTAGGCAATAAGCTAATTTTGTCCAACAGTATACCAAAAGCATTTATTGCTGGACTCTGGTGCATGCCTATAATCCCAGCTACTGAGGCAGCTGAGGCAGGAGAATCACAAGTTCAAGGCCAGCATGGGCAACTTAGGGAGGCCGTTGTCTCAAAATAAAAAGAGCTGGGGATATAGCTCAGTAGTAGATTTAATCTCCAGTACCAGAAAATAAAAGATTAAAAGAAAAGTTTGAGCTGAGCACTGCAGCTCAAGCCTATAATCCCAGAGACTTGGGAGGTTGAAGCAGGAGGACCAAAAGTTCAACGAAGCCAGTCTCAGCAACTTTAGAGTTTAGAGAAAGCCTATCTCAAAATAAAAAGGACTGTTGTAGCTCACTACTGAAGTACCCCTGGGTTCAGTACCCAATGCGGGATGAAAGAGAATATTACTAAAATTGCGTGGTCAGTTCTTACTTTCTCAATTTTGGGTAAAATACCATGTGATCCTAAAGAAGAAATTGTGTAGACAGATGTGTGCTATTTAATAACACATAAGCCTGAATTGAAAGAAGAAATGTTGATTTCATCAAAAGGTAAAAAATACCTATTATGAAATAGACTTAATTTCTGCTGAAGTCTTCACAAAGTGAAGACTCTTAGTAGTAGTATTATCATTATTTTAAATGCAAAGTTTACCTAAGTATTTATTTATGAAAAACAAGTTTAACCATGTACCAAAAATTACATTAAAGCCTATGAAATATCTAAATATGTTTAAGTCACAGCATCAAAGTATTTTCACTGTCCTCAAATAAATTACCATGGAACTATTACAACTAGGTTTCAACTGTGAGTCTATACTAAATTTTTTTTAAGTGTTAATCAAAAGTATTTAAACCCAAATCTTTAGTTTACTGTTCCCAAAGATAAATTTGACATTTTTAGGTGTAAATTAGAAAGTATGTAATTAATGGATTGGAATTTAAATACCATTGTCAGAGACAAGCTGCTACCTGCTGAATTTCAAGGAAAATTACTGTATATGAAATTTTTAAAAGTGAATTCATCTACCCTCTCTCTCAGCACTTTCTCAATTTTCCTATTACAATTAACAATACAACTCAGCAGTCAAGTCTTCCAGACTAATAACCTCAGAATTTATTTTTAACTCCAGACTCCTTCACAAGTACTCCCCTCCGTCCAATCCAAAGTCCTGCTGGTTTCTTCATTCATACTGTCTCTGAATCTGTTCCTTTCATCCATTTTCACATTTTAATTTATACCCTCATGATTCACAATATTCCTTACTATTTCCCTAAAAGGGTCGTAATGTCTCTACATGCAAATCCATCAACTCAACCTCCCAAATCACCTTCCAGTATCTGTTTAATAATCTATAGTAAAATCCAGATCTCTCTTGAAACTCAACCAAACTTTTACAGGCCCCTTTTCCTCTCTGCTAACCTTCCCATATTTCTCAAATTTCATCTCTTCTTATTTTCCTATTTAGGCCCTTTAAATCAGATTTATCACCTTGCTTGTTGCCTCTCATACAAAGCTCACCATCTCTGTGCTGAACATGCCTCCCACCTAGAGTCCTTCATACTTCTCCAACAGTTCAAGTTACAGCCTTCTTTAACACCTAAAAGCACACCTCTACAGAAGTCTTCCTTCTCCAACCATTCTCTCATCCCTTTATTCTTTGTCCTTCTGAACACATTTCAATTTGTATTTTATAATCTTGCAGTTATCATACTGTTGTTTTCACATTTTTTTCCCTCATATCCGTCCTTTACCATTAAATAAGCTTTTGAGGTCAAGTACTATAATTTCTTATGTAGCTCTTTTGTAGTGAACAGAAGTTTCCTTGAATACTACTAGTACCCTAACATATGCTCAATAATTCCTATTTCTTCTAAATGTTCCTAAAGTAAAGGTTGACTATGCCCTTTAATTATTCATAGTCACCAAGTTTTTATTTTTGCCCTTTATAAATTGCAAGTTGATGAAATATCTTAATCTACAAATTTAAGAGTTACATCTATATGAAGAACTAAGGAGTCATTTTTCAAAGAAAATCCTGGAAATAAAATGAAAAGTCCCAAAATTGAACATTGTAATTTAGCATTACACATCTCTGAACTAAACATAATAAATGAATTACCTAAAATTTTTGAGTGATTTTTAAACTCTAGTACAAAGATGTAAAACATACAAACACTCCAGTACCACAGAGGCTCTTAAGCAGCTATTATAAGATTTGCTTCATCACAGATGAAAATTACACCAGAATTTTAAATAATTATTTTCAAATGACCCCATGAAGTGCTTAGAAAGCATGATCCTTCCTTGAAAGATGCAAAATCAGCTTCCCTCTTCACATACCCTGCGTTCTCTACTAGCTAGTCACCAAGAGGAAAAAAACCAACTTTCAAAAATAACCTCCCATCAGCTATTGGACTATGTTTTAGTCAAGTTCCAAAAGCCAACATGAACTGAAATCTTGAGTTCAATTAAAACTGATCATTTTATGTTGCATTAAGTATATAATCAATGTCACCTAAGAGCATACACATTTGGGTTTTGATTTTTAATCTTAGCTGGAGGCAACAAAATAGTTTATCTTTCCCTTCATCTAGCCCCTTTCTCAGGGGATAAGAAACAATATAGATATGTTTGTCAAATTCTGCAAGTATGTTTAAATAGCTGTCATTAAATACCATACAAACATCTCCACAAATAGATACAGTGACATAGGATACTTTGTATACCAAACACTTGAATAACAGATTTTCAGTACAAATCCAGGGCAAGAGTATAGTCTAGCAAGAACCCTAACACAGCCCAGATAGCCCTATTATTTACAGGATGACAGTCTTCTGCAACAGCTATGATGAAAAGAATTAAATCCATATTCTTAAGAGTTAAATCCACAGTTTTAACTAAATATGAGGGGAGTTAATCAACAGTATTTTAAATAGTCCTAAAAAGGAATCCATTGTACTCCAGAACATTTAACAAGTAATGTATGCAAAGGCACCTCAAAATTCAACTTAAATCACAATGAGTCAGTGACAATTATTATTTAACTCAGTTTTGGCACTAACAATACAAACCTCAATCAAAACTTGGACCCACTTCCAAGTTATCTTTTGATTAAACAAATTATATGGTGGCAGATTGGTAATGTCAAAACAGGAAGGTTAGGAGATAACACACTACACCATTTATCCAATTGGAAACAATGCACTTAAGATGCAAATGCTGCTCGATATTTATCGTCTCCCACCCGACCCTACTAAAGGGAGGGCTGAAGGCTCGCCTCCAAACACGAATGCCAGTTACTGAGCAAGTCCATCTCCAGATTAAGAACAAATAATTTGTGTATCACTCAGGCAAAGAAGAAATGTTAGGAGGCTGGGACATTTAATGTCTATTTAAGTATACAAAACTATGATAACCCCTGAAACCTGAACTATCTAAAACATCCTCCTTCGTTCCGGAAGACACACGCTCCGAAAATGTACATAATGGTTTATGGATCAAGTCTTCCTCATTATTCAAAAACATGAACAAGTAAAAACTTCCATGGCTATTTTAACGTGGAAACAGTCAAGCAACCTGACAAAGCTGACTACCAAAACCAAGGAAAGTATAAGAAATAAGTTCCAAATTGAATCATCCAAATAAAAATCATATTCTCTCAATTCAAGGTTAGTGAGACCAGGGAGGAGGTATGGGAGGAGAAAGGAGTGAGCTGCCTCATCTTTGACTGAAGACGGGTTTTGCCCTTTTCCATTACTCTGATTGATCTGGAGGTCTAATATTTTAACATCCTGCTATTTCGAGGTTTCTTATTTTAAGGGTGAAGTGGAGTAGAGGTGTAAAATAAAATCGATACTCACTGCTAACTTTCATGCTGCCAAAGGCTGAAGGCTGCTGCACTGGCTTGCAGCTCTCCGCAAAGGAGGTGGTTCTGGGCCGCCCTGACATGATCTCTCTTCCCGAATCACCTTTTCCTTCCTTCCTCCTTTTCTTCCTTTTGTTTTATGTTAGGGTGTTAGGTTAATGATAAATGCAGCATTAAGTTCTCTCACAAGAAAAAGAAAAGAAAAAGAAAAAGACTTCGTTCTCCAGGCTTTTCACTTTTTTGTATAGCTATTTTAAAAAAAAAAAAACGAGCGATGTATTTCTCCTTCAAGACAGATCGGTACGGATATTGAACATATAGATAATCTGGGGCTGGAATGGGGGGATTACAATTCTTTCACCTCCCTTTCCTGAGAGAGGAGGATGGGGTGGGGGAAATCCTTTAAAAATATATATCACGTGAAACGGGAGCAAATACTTGATTGAAAATAAGTACTTTGAATATTATATTTTCCTCGGGGATTTTTTTCCGAGTCAATGAAGAAGGGAAGCGGCGGAAGGATCACGAGTCTCACGCTTGAAGAGAGGGGGATGGGAGGAAGGGGTGGCTCCGAGATGCGACGGGAAACGCTGCGGCTCCGGCAGCGGCGGGATCCAGCGGGCTGGCGGCAGGGGCCCGGCGACCAGGAGGGCGGCGGAGTCGCGAGTCAGTCAGAGGCGGGCGGTGGCGGCGGCTCCTCTCCTCATTGCGCCAGGAGCAGCTGCAGGCGGCGGCTGGATCCAGCGGCCATGGCGGCGGCGATAGCGGAGGCAGCTCCCTTCAGACCCCAGGCAGCGGCTCCTCGACTGCTCCCCATACGCCGGGGACATGGGAACCCGGCAACCGCTTCCGTCCCTCGGGGCCCCCTCCCCCGTCCACGGCACCGGCGCGGCCGCCCTCCGCCCCTCGCCTCTGATCGGTGCTTGCTCAGGAAGTGTCTGCGCTTTGCCCCGAGCCCGGAGCCCTGTCAGCGGCTGCAGGGCCAGGTCCTCTTCGCTTCCTTCCTTCCTTCCTTTGTCACTCGGCCCGGGCGGCGGCGGCAGCGGCAGCAGCACAAACCAGCATTCGCCCGGGTCGGGGGCAGCTCTGTGTGAGGAGCACCGTCTGCGCAGCCGCCTAGCGCTTCCCCGCTCCCCCTCCCCCTTCCTACTCGTCCTCCGCCTCCTTCCTCCCCCACCCAGCCTTACACCGCCCAAAGCCCGGCCGCCCGCGTAACAGGCGTCTGGGAATAGCCGACCGAGTCCGCGCCCGCCCACTTCGGCTGGGAAGCCGAAACCCAAAGCGGAGCCAATCACCAACGTCTCTCGTTTGCGGCTCGTTCCGGAAAAAGCCGATCTGTCTGAGAAGCCAATTAGAAAGTGTCGCTGGGAAACCACGCCTAATGAACGGAAAATGCCGAAGGCAGCCGAACGGGAAGAAAGTGGATTCGCCTTGTTCTGTGGCTGGCTGGACGAGAAATTCGACTATAGCAAAAGTGGCCAATCAGAGTTGCCGGCCTTCAGGAAAAAGCATGAAGAGTTAAGGACCGTGAAACCCGGAGTCGCGGGTGAAACTGCATGGCTGGGCGCCGCGGCCGCCTCGCAATTGGCTGGAAAACTCCACTGGGAGTGTACCTTTCTCATTGATTGGTGAAAGGAAGAGGGCTTCCGAGGACATTTAGCCAGTCAGAACTTCTCCTCCCTCGTCAAGGGGGGAGAAGAAGAAAGCAAAGAGAGGACGTCTATAAAGCGCCGTCTCATTGGCCTGACGCTTTGGAGATGAAGTCGGGGCAGAAGGGAGGAGGAGTGAGGCCGAAACCCCCAGCTGCGGCCAATCGGCACTTACTGCCGTGCAATCGCAAGACCTAGCTGTAGTATGATTGGCTTCCGGCCTTCGGCGGCGGTCCCTGGAGCAGGGAGAAGCTCGCCCGGGTCGTGGCGGACGGTCTGACAGGCTTGCCTGCGGCTGCTCCCAACCTGTGCGGAAACCGCAGATGGGGCACCGGGGCTCTTTGCACAGCCCAGCCGAAACTGCTGCGGTCAGCGGGGTAGGGCATGGAGCACTCAAGCGAGCAGAGAAGCGAGGGGCTCTCCCCACCCACTGGAGCCCTTCCGTGGGGCGCGGCTTACTCGGCGCACCCTGGGCTCTCTCAGCTCGGGATCGCGCGTGCCTGCTATTTGGGGGCGTCTTCCCCAAAGGGCCAGACGGACAAGGGGCCGCCCAAGGCTGGTACGAGTTCTCAGGACCTAAAGTAGGAACAAAGCTTCCAGAGAGGTAGCGCCTCTGGGCAGCTGCGCCCCGCCCAGCCGCCGGGCCCACTGATATAGTGAAGCCCACTCTGCCTGGTGCGCGCGGCCAGGCCTGGCCTTCTGGAAACGCCCCTGAGAGATGAGCTCATGCTCCCTGCGCGCGCTCCTTAGGCGCGACTGCCCTGCGCAAAACCGGCCCTGAAAGCAGGTGAGGGGAAATGCCGTCAGGCCGGATATCCTGAAACCTCCAAGGAAATGGAGAGTCAGAATTGCCCATAGTATCTTGGATCCTTTGGAATTAGGGTAATCTCTAAAAGTGCTATTTGTGTAGGCTTCACACATAGGCCAGTGTCCATTGTTCTATTAGAAAAACAATTATTTTGGTCTGCCTGAGAACAGTAAGGTATGGCAACACCAGACTAAGAAAAAGTAGAATGAAAGCTTACCATCCTGACTGTAATCCAGTAGGGCTTGTAATTTCCATGTGCAGAGTCATCCCTTTCTGTTAAGATACTATCTCCAGAAAGAACATGTAAAAGTACGTGTACTTGATCAGATTACGGGCCATTGCTTTGAAAACTGATGATGGACTTGGTACAGAACAAAATAAGCTTTGATAGCAGACAGGAAAGGTCTCGATAACGTTGCAGACTCACATCTGTCTACAGAGGCTGGACAAGTAAAGCAAATAAATGACACTTGATTTGTGTAAAACAATGGGAAATAATAGGGAATGTGGTATATTGGAATATCCATAAAGGGAGCAGCTGCTCCACTCTAGCAGATTGTTGCCCTCGGGAATGTGGGTCCAGTATTATGAGATGTTCTAGTTTTCTCCCAAGAGAAACTCTGGGGTCTTTGTGTGAGATTTCTAGATGTTTAAATAGTGGTAACTAATATTTGAGAACCCTGCAGACCAAAGTAAGAACATTCCAAGGAGATGTGGCCAACAGGCAATCAATTTGTGATCTCAAACCTAAGCATAGCTTTATATCCCAAGAGCAACAGAGGATCTTGTTCTTTGCAATTAAAAGAGAACATGAGGTCACTGGATGCTGTGGGTGTGGTAAAGAATGTTAAAAGCAAAGTCATTGCTTGGCGACTTTGTCTACTGAGTGGTGCCTGTCTGCTATATGAAATACCTTTTCTAAATGCTATGAAGAAGAGCTTTAAATACTGCCTGCCTCTTCTTCCCATCTCTACTCCCAATTATACCAACAGGAAAGTAAGTAACGTTTAGGTTTTAAAAACAGGAATCATGATTATTCTTCTATATAATACAAGTAATAAATACAAAAATAGTCTAATGTTAATAGTAACTTTACAGTTGCTGCCTTCAAATATTTTGAACTGAAGCTGTTTTTAATAAACTCTGACCAAGAGTGGAAAATTTTATAGAAAAAAAATTTATGTTTCAGTCCTAAAATAGGACTTGAGGGAAATATTTATTTTTAAAATAAGGAACTATTGAGACTAATATTCAGTGGTTATTTCTCTGAACTTTTAGACTTCTTTCTTTACCTTCACACATGCTATTAACCACTTACAAATTTAAAATTTTATTTGTTGAGTTTTTGTAATATGTCAGACACTGTGGCTCAGCGGTAGTGCACTTGCCTCACAGGTGTAAGGGCACTGGGTTTGATCCTCAGCACCACATTAAAATAAATAAACAAATTTTATCCATCTACAACTAAAAAATATATATATATATTTTAAAAAAACAGACACTGTACTTAAATACTTCGTGTGTTCGGTCTTATTTAAACTTACAACAATTCTATCAATTAAGTACTATTATCACCTGCAATATTGAGATGAAGAAACTGAGCCCCAGAAAGGCTTACTAACTCACCCAAGGTCCACAAACTAAAATAACAGAACTAGGATTCAGATTCCTTTTCTTAGTCTCATCTCTACACTTCTATCTTGCATACAATCCCCACTCCTTTTGATGTATACTACTTTCCTTATCCTATAGTCTGAACCTATACCTTATACTGTACTGTGACATGCATTATATCATTTGGTCCTCAAAACTACCCAGTAAAATAGGAAGGGAAGCTATTTTTCTGTTTTTATAAATGAGGAAACTATGTGCTAGCATGATTAAATAACTTGCTCCAAATCACTAGCCACATTTTAAAATTGAAACTAAAAGGTAGGCAGGTTTAATAATAAAGTAGTATATAGAATATGAGAGGCAGTGTATTTAGATGAATCAAGAATGAACTATTATAAACAGATCCATGAACAAACTCCAGAGTCTGATTTATTATCATCTTAGTTAACTGTATTAAATACAAACATGTTCTTGGGTGCTGGTCTTCAAAATTAAAGAAGATATAGTCTCTGTGCTCCAGATACTTGTAGTCCAAACTATGACATGGAAAGAGTTGTTTAGTAATGAAGCCTAGGAAAACCTCCAATATCAAGGTCAAAGAGAAGATTAAGAGGAAGGGGTAATAAACTCACATTTATTGAGTGCCTATTTATTCCTCCCCAAAACCTTGAAAGAAGATAAGCATTGTTAACCTTTTTTTAATTATTATTAGATGAGGGTATCAGAAGTCAGATGAATTTTAGGATAAGCACACTATTCAAGGTCAAATGATTAGTAAAATGGCAGAGCTGGGATTTGAGATTTGACTCCAGTTTCTTTCTCCTAAATCATTTTGTTTTCCCTCAAATAAATATTGTTGATCCCATATATGTAAAATTACGTGTGTGTGTGTGTGTGTGTGTGTGTTTGCACATGAACACCATTAGCCTTAGTGACATTTTGGATGATCTTATCTCCATCCTTTTCTACCTTTTGTCAATAACTTTGAGTTATAGTCTACAGGAAAATAATCTAATAAGAATTGTCAGTAGCAGCTGTTGGGCACTTTTAGAAGTAATTTAGGAGGTAGTTTCAGGGCTGAGCAGGAGAATGAACTAAAAAATCAGAATACCTTTAAAAGCTCTGAAGTAGCAGCAGAATTTTGCCCTTCTAATGCCCAAAAGACTGATCATGATTAATACAAATATACTCTATGAAACAGTTAATTTATATCATCAAAATAAAGGTGATGAAATTACTTATTGACTATACTAGAAATCATCAGTAATATGTTAATTTGGTGGTAGTATCAAGAGTCATTTTAACACTTTCATCACTAATAGAAGTTAACTCATCCCAGGTAATATACTAGTGTTTGGAGCATATAATGATCAGAACTTCCTATACGGTAGGTACAATATTATTAACTTCTATTTTACTGATGAGAAAATAGGAACAAGAAAAGTAAATTGCTTAAATTCCTACAGCTAGAAATTGGGTTTTCAAACCTATAACTTAACCTTGGCAATTTCTCCTTAGAAAAGCATCCAAAATAAATAAATCGAACTTCACTCAAGTCCATTTAGTAAGCATTTATCCAATTCTTAAGCCACCCACAGAGGACTGCTATCTTACACCAGCCCTCCTCCTCTCTTACAGGTAAGGAGACATGTACACATGGAGCTGGCACAGGGAGAAGTTCCCAGAGATATTTTTCCAAGTTTTAGTTAAATTAGTGGTTTCTAGAATTGGGGACATGTACACAAAGGTTGGGCAGGATAATCCTTTAAAAAGTTGGAGCCATTTCTATCTTCATAGAAGTAAATTATTTCCAATTGTTAATTTTCTAGTACACACTGGTGATGCCTTTCTCATTCCCTACATCAAAGGAATATTTGTTCATGACGCACAATACAACTATCCTCAGGATAGGGAACAAATCCACATCCTCAAATGGATGATGAATTTGAGATGTCCTCCTGTATTTTAAGTTTTCCAAAGCATATACTTTCTGCTAATTAAGTGGATTTCTGGATCATATTATTTGATTTTTGTAACTAAATTGACTTTCACATTCTACTAAAAATGGTTTCTGCAAATCAAATACAAATTACAGATTTTGATAGTGTTTCAAAAGAAATAAAATGGCAAAACAGATAATCTACTCTTGGTAGGAGCTCTTCATCAGTAAATAATAGGTAAAAAACAGCAGTGTGCTGATCAAATATGACAAGTAGATCTGAAATTTTTGGAAGTCTCAAGAACTGATTATATATCGATGAATTATAGTTGTATATATTGATGTGGAACAAAGTGATGTTACAATTTTTAATACAACGTAGAGTGTAAGTCAAGCTAATTAACCTATCCATAACCTCAAATATTTGATTTTTTTTTTGTCATGACACCATTTGAGATTTACTCTTAACAACACTAAGGTGTAAAGTATTCACATGTTAGTTATACTCACCATGCTGTGCAATGGATCTTAAAAA